TCCTCATTCCCCTCCACCTCCTCCACCTCCTCCCCCTCCTCCACCTCTTCCTCCTCCACCTCCTCCACCTCCTCCTCATCCTCCCCCTCCTCCACCACCTCCTCATCCTCCTCCACCTCCTCCACCTCTTCCTCCTCCACCTCCACCACCTCCACCTCCTCCAACTCCTCCACCTCCACCTCCACTTCCTCCAACTCCTCCTCCACCTCCTCCACCACCTCCTCCTCCTCCCCCTCCTCCAACTCCTCCACCTCCTCCACCTCCTCCTCCCCCTCCTCCACCTCCTCCACCTCCTCCCCCTCCACCTCTTCCAACTCCTCCACCTCCTCCTCCACCTCCTCCACCTCCTCCACCTCCTCCACCTCCTCCTCCACCTCTTCCTCCACCTCCTCCTCCACCTCCTCCACCTCCTCCCCCTCCTCCACCACCTCCTCATCCTCCTCCACCTCCTCCACCTCTTCCTCCTCCACCTCCTCCACCTCCTCCTCCACCTCCTCCACCTCCACCTCCTCCAACTCCTCCTCCTCCACCAACTCCTCCCCCTCCTCCACCACCTCCTCATCCTCCTCCACCTCCTCCATCTCCTCCCCCTCCTCCACCACCTCCTCCTCCTCCACCTCTTCCTCCTCAAGACGAAGATGTCGACCGGCTGAGGGCATGTCGCCTACATCAGAGGTTGGTGACCCGCAGCTCCAAAGGTGCAAGAAAGGCTCCTCACCATGGAAGTCCACTTAACCACGGAACTGCACTTCGCCATGGAAGCCCAGTTTACCACAGGATTCCAGTTCACCATGGAAGTCCAGTTCACCATGGGAATCCAGTTCACCATGGAAGTCCAGTTCACCGTGGAAGTCCAGTTCACCATGGAAGTCCAGTTCACCATGGGAATCCAGTTCACCATGGGAATCCAGTTCACCGTGGAAGTCCAGTTCACCATAGAAGTCTACTTCACCATGGAAGTCCACTTCACCATGGAAGTCCAGTTCACCATGGGAATCCAGTTCACCATGGGAATCCAGTTCACCATGGGAGTCCAGTTCACCATGGGAGTCCAGTTCACCATGAGAGTCCAGTTCACCATGGGAGTCCAGTTCACCATGGAAGTCCAGTTCACCATGGGAGTCCAGTTCACCATGGGAGTCCAGTTCACCATGGGAATCCAGTTCACCATAGAAGTCTACTTCACCATGGAAGTCCACTTCACCATGGGAGTCCAGTTCACCATGGGAGTCCAGTTCACCATGGAAGTCCACTTCACCATGGAAGTCCAGTTCACCATGGAAGTCCAGTTCACCATGGGAGTCCAGTTCACCATGGGAGTCCAATTCACCATGGAAGTACACTTCACCATGGAAGTCCAGTTCACCATGGGAGTCCAGTTCACCATGGGAGTCCAGTTCACCATGGGAGTCCACTTCACCATGGAAGTCCAGTTCACCATGGGAGTCCAGTTCACCATGGGAGTCCACTTCACCATGGAAGTCCAGTTCACCATGGGAGTCCAGTTCACCATGGAAGTCCACTTCACCATGGAAGTCCAGTTCACCATGGAAGTCCACTTCACCATGGAAGTCCAGTTCACCATGGGAGTCCAGTTCACCATGGGAGTCCACTTCACCATGGAAGTCCAGTTCACCATGGGAGTCCAGTTCACCATGGAAGTCCACTTCACCATGGAAGTCCAGTTCACCATGGGAGTCCAGTTCACCATGGGAGTCCAATTCACCATAGAAGTCCACTTCACCATGGAAGTCCAGTTCACCATGGGAGTCCAGTTCACCATGGGAGTCCAGTTCACCATAGAAGTCCAGTTCACCATGGGAGTCCAGTTCACCATGGAAGTCCAGTTCACCATGGAAGTCCAGTTCACCATGGGAGTCCAGTTCACCATGGGAGTCCAGTTCACCATAGAAGTCTACTTCACCATGGGAGTCCAGTTCACCATGGGAGTCCAGTTCACCATGGAAGTCCACTTCACCATGGAAGTCCAGTTCACCATGGGAGTCCAGTTCACCATGGGAGTCCAGTTCACCATGGGAGTCCACTTCACCATGGAAGTCCAGTTCACCATGGGAGTCCAGTTCACCATGGAAGTCCACTTCACCATGGAAGTCCAGTTCACCATGGGAGTCCAGTTCACCATGGGAGTCCAATTCACCATAGAAGTCCACTTCACCATGGAAGTCCAGTTCACCATGGGAGTCCAGTTCACCATGGGAGTCCAGTTCACCATAGAAGTCCAGTTCACCATGGGAGTCCAGTTCACCATGGAAGTCCAGTTCACCATGGAAGTCCAGTTCACCATGGGAGTCCAGTTCACCATGGGAGTCCAGTTCACCATAGAAGTCTACTTCACCATGGGAGTCCAGTTCACCATGGGAGTCCAGTTCACCATGGGAGTCCAGTTCACCATAGAAGTCTACTTCACCATGGGAGTCCAGTTCACCATGGGAGTCCAGTTCACCATGGGAGTCCAGTTCACCATAGGAAGTCCACTTCACCATGGAAGTCCACTTCACCATGGAAGTCCACTTCACCATGGGAGTCCAGTTCACCATGGAAGTCCACTTCACCATAGAAGTCTACTTCACCATGGGAGTCCACTGCACCACAGAAGCCCAGTTTACCACAGGATTCCAGTTCACGATGGAAGTCCAGTTCACCACAGGGATCAGTAACCCCTCCAACTCAGTATAAACCCATCATCTCAGTATAAACCATCAAACTCAGAAAAACCCTGAAACAGTGCATATACCCACCAACGCAGCGTCTTAATGTCTTATCTTCATGTGATTCATTTCGTGCCTTACATCAATTATAGAATTGTACCTAGCATAACAATAACTTGAAATAAAGAATTGGGTTATTGAACTTTATTTGAAGCTTTCGTGACTGCAGGAATTACTCGGTGGTTCTTTCGGTAAAGTCACGTAGAAAGTAAATAAATTGAATACTAGAATACGACGTTTCGATTGCAACACAAGCAGTCATCAGGTAGAACTGCATTTGAGAGAGAGTGTGTCTGTCTGTGTGTCTCCATGTTGTCTCTCTCTGCTTGTGTATCTGTCTGTGTGTCTGTGTTTTGTCTCTCTCTCAAATTTAGTTCTACCTGATGATGACTGCTTGTGTTGCAATCGAAACGTCGTATTCTATTATTTAACTTATTTTCTATCTACCTGACTTTACCGAAAGAGAAGATGGATTCTGGCTCAGCAATCATTGGAAGGACGTAATAAACCATTTCGGATCTTAACTGATTGTGTTCACGTTTACGGTGACTTTCAGACCGCAGTCCACTCACTGGCATTGACTATATATCTTGTATTCTCCGCAGGGAATGGATTCTTTGCTCCGCTGCAAGTCTCCTACCACCACTCTTCCATTGACATATTTCGTTGCTTCCTCTTAGTACCTTTCACGCGACAGGTCAATGGTATAGTGTATAGCAGATTGTATAATAATAAATAGTATTAAAGTGTAATGTTTAATACAATGTATAAGGTAATATATAGTATCGTAATTGTATAGTGAACTAGCTGTACTACCCGGCTTCGCCCGGGACTTGTATACAGCAGTGTGGTATACAGTAGGGTGGGTAGAATAATACATAGTGTAATATTACAATGTATAGTCTAAGGTATAGGGTGGTGTATAGTAATGCAGTATATAATTTAATGTTGGGTTTGTCTATGGCAGTATATAGTACGGGGTAGACCCGTGTGATGTAAGAGAACAAAGTTTAGCTGGAGGCATATTATAGTTTTTGCGACATAGAATTGTAATGTATGACTTACTGTTAGTAGCTCAGCTTATTTGAGAGTATATTTAGTATATTGATGATACTGATACTATTAAAATTCCTTGGTTCTTTCAGTAAAGTCACGTAGAAGGGAAATAATAAAATAATAAAAATAAAACATAATGAAATAATTCTCACGACGTTTTGGCCACAACGCAAGCAGCCGTCCTCAGGTGAAGAACAGGGCTGTCGGAAAGACCGTCTGAATGAACACCACCATGCTTGGCAGCGTATATTTAAGCTGGGTTGGAGGGGGAAGAGCGCCTTGACAAAATAATGTGCATATCAACAGATGAATTTAGCATATTTATGGGAAATGCAGATATGGGATTAGTCACTACTTGTGGAATGCGTAGGAGGTGGGCGGGGGGTTTCAAAGTCATATTATGCCCGTGCATTATGCAGGATTAGCAGCATCAAAGGGAGGGAGTAGGGTTAGCATTAATAAAGGGAAAGAATGTTAATAGTATGGAGCTGCAGCAACTCAGTACAAAGTCCTCCCATCTTCTTGGTTCTTTCGGTAAAATCACGTAGAAGAGAAATAATAAAATAATAAAAATCAAACATGATAAAATCATTCTCACAACATTTCGGCCACAACGCAAGCAGCTGTCCTCAGGTGAAGAACAGGTCTGTTGGAAAGACAGCATCTGAATGAACACCACCATGCTTGGCAGCGTATATTTAAGCAGGGGTTAGAGGGGGAAGAGCGCCTTGACAAAATAATTTGCATATCAACAGATGAATTTAGCATATTTATGGGAAATGCAGATATGTGACTAGTCACTACTTGTGAAATGCGTAGGAGGTGGGCGGGGGGTTTCAGAGTCATATTATGCCCGTGCATTATGCAGAATTAGCAGCATCAAAGGGAGGGGATAGGGGTAGCATTAATAAAGGGAAGGAATGTTAATAGTAAGGAGCTGCAGCAACTCAGTACAAAGTCCTCCCATATTCTTGGTTCTTTCGGTAAAGTCACGTAGAAGGGAAATAATAAAATAATACAAATAAAACATAATAAAATAATATTATAACATAACATTAAATAATATAATAATCTTTTTATTTCCCTTATTTTATTATTTCCCTTCTACGTGACTTCACCAAAAGAACCAAGAAGATGAATCCCTGCAGTCGCGAAAGCCTTAAATCGAAATTTAAAGTCCTCCCAGTTCAGCAGAAGAGATGTTCTTCGCCTCAATCATTCAGAAGGCCCCACTTTGCGCCTTGCCAGCTTGGCGAGGGCCCTCCGGATCTCGGCCGAGCACAGCCCGTATATGATGGGGTTCATCAGTGCGGGCAACGTGTGAAAGTTCACCACCAGGTAGACGTTTACGCTCGCCGGCATGTTGAACACCTTCTGCAGGCGGTGCACCACCACGATGAGAATGCCCGACATGAAGAACGTGACCACCACCAGCAGGTGAGTGACCACCGTCCTCACGGCCTTCGCCTGGCCCTCGCGCGTGGCCCGCTGACGGCACTCGAACGCGATGCGCAGGTAGGCGATGGTCACGGTGACCAGGCAGCCGACAAGCCCCACCATCTTGGTGATGAGATCGTAGAGACCGTTGACGGTGACGTCACCGCAGGCCAGGGCCGCCATGGTCATGTGGTCGCAGTGGGGCATGTGGATCACCATCTCCTTGCAGAAGTCGTGGCGCACGATCAGCCCCATCATTGCGAGGATGAGCACCAAGGTCGTTGCGGCCAATGCCGCGTTCACATTCAGCGCACGCGCGTTCGACATGAGCGCGTGGTAGCGCAGCGGCCGGCACACGGCCAGGTAGCGGTCGACTGTCATCGCGGAGAGGGAGAAACTTGAGAGGACGCCGTAGATGTGCGCGAAGAACATCTGCGTGAAGCACTCGGGCAGGCTGATGGCGTTGGAGCCGACGATGTTGTACATGATGCGCGGCAGCGTTGCGGTGCTGCCAATGAGGTCGCTGGCGACGAGGTTGGTTAGCATCACGTACATGGGCTTGTGCAACGAGCGATCCGTGAGGATCACGGTAAGGAGGAGGGAGTTGCCCGTGAGCGTGATGGCGTAGGCGAGAAGGAAGAAGGCGAAGAAAGCGTGCCCGCCGTTCTCCAAGCCGCGGAAGGGGCTCTCCATGTAGACGTAGTCGAACGAAGATGACGACGCGTTCACGGACATCGCGAAGGCCTGCCGATGAATGAAAGAAGCGAACGGGGAAGATGTTGGCGCGCCGATTTTTGTATTCGTTGACATTTAAGAGAGTGGATTTTTTTTGTTTCTAACGGGATCTTTCTTTTTTTGCCAGTGTAATGAGAGCCTATGTCCGGCTCACGTGGTGATCGGCTCTGCCGGTCCTGCTCTACAGCCAATGGGGGAAGAGCCTTGGAGCATGGCCCTGGCGTGATCGAGGGGTGCCAGCTAGGGTGATTGGTTCTGCTGGTCTTGGCCTCAGCCAATGGGAAGACAAGTCAGGGGCGTGGTCCCGGGAGTTAATGGGGAATCTGGAACATTCGGCGCAGGCTATTAAGGATTGGCTGAAGCGTACCACGTGACCCAGACATTAAATAAGAGAAGAGCCGAGGGACACGTAGTCAGACGAGGAATGAAGAGAGAGAGGGGCCACGCGCGAGCGGGGCTCCGAGTGCCACGTGGCGCTGCATCTCTTGCGATCTGTCTGCCCACTCCCCGTTGCCTGCCAGCAACGGGGAGTGCTTGTGAACTGAGATAAGTAAATAAAAGGACCGATTCCACAAGCCGTCTCCAAGAGTATTATTACGCCAGTATAAAGAACGGTAAAAAAAATCAGTGGAGGCGACCCTGTCCACGTGACATGGGAGGTTTTAAAAACCTCGCACCCTCCAGACATCATACTCTTAGGTTTTTTTCGGTAAAGTCACGTAGGTAAAAATAAAATTAATAAAAGTAATAATAGAAATAAAATAATAAGTCACGACGTTCCGTCAAAAGTTGCCTCACTTGATACAGTAAATTTAGCTGTGACGGTCCCACCTGTCTCCTCGACAGACCTGTTCTCCACCTGAGGACGGCTACTTGCGTTGTGGCCGAAACGTCGTGAGAATTATTTTATTATGTTTTATTTTTATTATTTTATTATTTCCATTCTACGTGACTTTACCGAAAGAACCAAGAAGATCATCATTGTCGTCATCATCGTCGTCGTCGTCATCATCATCATCATCGTCATCATTGTCGTCGTCATCATCGTCATCGTCGTCATCATCATCGTCATCATCATTGTCATCGTCATCATCGTCGTCGTCATCATTATCGTCATCATCATCGTCATCATCGTCGTCGTCATCATTGTCATCATCGTCGTCGTCGTCATCATCGTCATCATGATCGTCGTCGTTGTCGTCATCATCATCATCATCGTCGTCGTCATCGTCATCATCATCATTATCATCATCATCGTCATCATCGTCGTCGTCGTCATCATCGTCATCGTCATCATCGTCATCGTCGTCATCATCATCATCGTCATCGTCGTCATCATCGTCGTCGTCGTCATCGTCGTCGTCGTCGTCGTCATCGTCGTCGTCATCATCGTCGTCGTCGTCATCATCGTCATCATCGTCGTCATCATCATCGTCATCATCGTCGTCGTCATCATCGTCGTCGTCGTCATCATTGTCATCATCGTCGTCATCATCGTCATCATCATCATCATCGTCGTCATCATCATCGTCATCATAATCGTCATCATTGTCATCATCGTCGTCATCATCGTCATCATCATCGTCGTCGTCATCATCGTCGTCATCATCGTCATCATCATCATCGTCATCATCGCGTATAGCGGCCAAATGCTCCAAGCGCGTGATGACTCTAAATTCGGAGGGAAGAACGAGAGGACCCGAGGAAACAAAAAAATCCACGCGACCACGTGGAGAGAGAGAGGGAGAGAGTCCCGGGCATTGTCAGGGTTGCGATCAGACACACGACCTCCTTGCTACTAGGCGAGGTAGTTAACAGTATGTGTGTGTGCGGAGCGGTGGTGCAGCGGTTAGCGCTACGCTGCGCTACGAACCCGGCGACACGAGTTCAATTCTCGCTCACGGCCAACACCACCGGTGACGATGATCTCTGAACTGGTCCTGGGCCTCCTCTAGGTCGACTCAGCCTCAAATTAGTACCAGGTGCATTGTGTAAACATCGCCACTCGGGGAGATAAAGGCGGTCGGGCGTGATGCTGGCCACCCACCCCCTCGTGTGCCGTTCCGGCCTTCATAGGTGCTCGTTAACAGCACTTGCCCCAACAGTTTGTTTTTAGAGGTGGTGTTGGTGGTGTTGGTGGTGGTGTTGGTGGTGTTGGTGTTGGTGGTGGTGGCGGTGTTAGTGGTGGTGGTGGTGTTGGTGGTGTTGGTGGTGGTGTTGGTGGTGGTGTTGGTGGTGTTGGTGTTAGTGGTGGTGGTGTTGGTGGTGTTGGTGGTGGTGTTGGTGGTGGTGTTGTTGGTGGTGGTGTTGGTGGTGGTGTGTTGGTGGTGGTGTTGGTGGTGGTGTTGGTGGTGGTGTTGGTGGTGGTGTTGGTGGTGTTGGTGTTAGTGGTGGTGGTGTTGGTGGTGTTGGTGGTGGTGTTGGTGGTGGTGTTGTTGGTGGTGGTGTTGGTGGTGGTGTTGTTGGTGGTGGTGTTGGTGGTGGTGTTGGTGGCGGTGTTAGTGGTGTATGGTGTTAGTGGTGGTGGTGGTGGTGTTGGTGGTGGTGTTGGTGGTGGTGATGTTGGTGGTGATGTTGGTGGTGGTGTTGGTGGTGGTGGTTGGTGGCGGTGGTAGTGGTGGTGGTGTTGGTGGTGGTGGTGGTGGTGTTGGTGGTGGTGTTGTTGGTGGTGGTGTTGGTGGTGGTGTTGGTGGTGGTGTTGGTGGTGGTGGTGTTGGTGGTGGTGGTGGTGTTGGTGTTGTTGGTGTTAGTGGTGGTGGTGGTGTTGGTGGTGTTGGTGGTGGTGGTGTTGGTGGTGGTGTTGTTGGTGGTGGTGTTGTTGTTGGTGGTGGTGTTAGTGGTGTTGGTGTTAGTGGTGGTGGCGGTGTTGGCAAGTCGCCGCGTAAATTGACGGCGTTGATGTAGTAAAAAAATATCAAAATAAATACATTTATATTTCTTAAATATACATAAATTCATATTTATATAGTACAATGTTTCTTAAAATTTTGGTAGTAAAAAATATCGAAATTTATATATGCTTTTTCTAATTATAAACATTTACAAAAATATATGTCAATTTACATATATTTTTTAAAAATTATATAAAACATTGAAAAAAGTAAAATATATAAATTAATAAAGTAATTAAATTCTCAAAATGTTTTTTACAATTTTATTTACAATTTTTTATCAATTTTTTTACTATATACATTTATAAAATATATGTAACTTTTTTTTTTAAGCAAAACCAAATACAATCTTCTCTGTACACAGCAAACCTCTTACCGGGCGTGGTGAACAGCGCCTTAGAGCGAACGCGACGTTTCGATCGCAACACAAGCTACTGAAACAACTTCTTGGTTCTTTCGGTAAAGTCACGTAGAAGGGAAATAATAAAATAATAAAAATAAAACATAATAAAATAATAAAAATAAAACATAATAAAATAATAAAAATAAAACATAATAAAATAATAAAAATAAACATAATAAAATAATTCTCACGACGTTTCGGCCACAACGCAAGCAGCCGTCCTCAGGTGAAGACCAGGTCTGTCAGGGAGACAGAGTCTCACCTGAGGACGGCTGCTTGCGTTGTGGCCGAAACGTCGCGAGAATTATTTTATAATGTTTTATTTTTATTATTTTATTATTTCCCTTCTAAGTGACTTTACCGAAAGAACCAAGAAGATGAATCCCTGCAGTCACGAAAGCTTCAAATCGAAATTTTATTCTATTTTATTATGTTTTATTTTTATTATTTTATTATTTCCCTTCTACGTGACTTTACCGAAAGAACCAAAAAGATGAATCCCTGCAGTCACGAAAGCTTTAAATCGAAATTCTACTGAAACAAGTTCTTATATAGGGTAAGAGGCCGTGAAAGTGACCATTGCATTGTGAGACATTAGCACGCCAATGATGCAGATCCTAGTAGGACATCCAGCCCGTCCATACAAAGACATCCAACTATTCTTCTTGGTTCTTTCGGTAAAGTCACGTAGAATGGAAATAATAAAATAATAAAAAATTCAACATAATAAAAATAAAACATAATAAAATATTTTATTAAAAAATATATTTATTATGTTTTATTTTTATTATTTCATTATTTCCATTCTACGTTACTTTACCGAAATATTTTATTTAAAAAAATCTATTTTACAAAAAATATATGTATTATGTTTTATTTTTATTATGTTATTATTTCCATTCTACGTGACTTTACCGAAAGAACCAAGAAGATGAATCCCTGCAGTCACGAAAGCTTTAAATCGAAACATCCAACCTATTAATGCGACGTAAGAGAAGTCAGCTGACATCGGCAGGAATGATGAAAACATCGCAGCAGGTTAAGATTTTACCTGGTTAATCACGTCCTTCCAATGTGTGCTCAATTTGTACCACCCATCGTCTCGGTTGAAGTCGTGTCTGCGTTTTTATATCTGGATGTCTTCACGAACAAAATCTTTGATGATAGCCAGTGGAGTTTGCACAGTAAAATCGAGCACACAGCGTTAAAACAACGATCAGCAACGGCCGAGGTATTGGTCCTAACTAATCGGTCACATCGTGGTCGATTATTTTCTTCTCTACGCGACTTTACCGAAAGACCCAACGAGTACGAATTCCTGCAAGTCACGAAAGCTTTAAGTCAACAAATAAATGTGATGGTATGTGCACATGGCAATTATTATATTGCGACGGGCGGATTTCCCTTGAGCCTTGGTTGTTGTTTTAGCAAAATATATATTTTTTTTAAACTCTTTGAATCTTTCGGTAAAGTCACGTAGAAAGAAAATAAATACGACGTTTCGATTGCGACACAAGCAGCCGTCATCAGGTAGAACTACATCTTACGTACGTACATTTTATATTCGCGAATTTATAAATGTCTATTTTATCTTTTTTTAAGCGAAAACAAATTAAAATCTTCTCTGTACGCAGCGAACCTCTTACCGGGCGTGGCGAAAAGCGCTTCGGAGCGATTACAATTCGGAACACTCAATAAATGTGATG